TGAATCATTCACAAATTTATTTGGATAATTAGGATTTAATTTTATTGCTAATTTGTCTGTTTTATCCGAACGTGACAATATTCGATGGGTTAGACTGCTGTAGGTTTTAAGCAATGAAGCTTCGAGATCAATAAAGTGGTATCAAAAGTTTAGAGACTTTTAATGATTTGATGATTAAAATTACAATTTTCACATAGGCTTATTTTTCTAAAATACTCAAGAGTGATTTCAATTGCGCATTGTAGGAAAGTTGTACTTCAAGAAAATGTGTGAAAAGAGCAAACTGTAAAGCACTGCGCCTGGAAGTCATAACTTTTTTCCTCTTTGAGTAAAATGATATATTAAAATGTTATAAATCATTAAATCCTCGTCATGTTGTCTAAGTTTCTTCAAAAATGCCATGTATAAATAATCATTAAAGCAAATAATTACTAGTGAGTAACATTTGTGAGTAAAATATGTGTATAATTTTGCAGGAATTTATGAATAGCCACATAACTTTCGCAGGATATTCTGATATTTTTGGCCAAATTGTAAGCTTCAAACCCAGTCTTATGGTACTTATATTTTCCTTCGTGAAACACAGCAGCTTATCTTCTAAGATGCATTAAAAACTGTAAGTACTTAAAATCATAGCACAAACACAGGTCATGCTGCATTAATAGGAATCATGCGCCCTTTTCTCAATACTCCACAGCGGAATCGGTCGACCATTGTATACATATTCGAAATTAAGATTAACAAGAGCTTATTGTTTATAAATGAATAAGAAATGTTCTCTACTTTTTTGTTGTTGTTGTTGTTTTAAACGAAATAGGTTTTCAATAAATGAACAATCAACAGTGGAAAATGCTCTCCACCGAAACCTTGATTGTATTCATATTTTCTGGTGATGGCAATTGAAACTAAGTAATGACATTCTAGGGAGTTAAATGGTCATTAATCATATCCGTTTATCTAGTTGTTTTATGACTTATATAATACAGCATGACACACAAGCCTAATAAATGTCCAGAACAACTTCCGCCACTAATAGCTTTAGATAAAAGTACTCGGTGATTTATTAGAACAATATATTAAGATATTCCACTACTTTTAATATTCTTTAGTATTGCTGATGAAAGAACTGATAGTACGTCCGTCAGGTATGTCTGCCCCCAACATATACATGTATGGTCCTTTACATAGAGAAACACGAGGTTAGAATCTTACAGAATAAGTCATTAAAGTTGCTTTTTGTTGATGCTTTTATTTTGAATACCAAATAACTTCTTTCATATTTATGCGAGGTTTAGCCCCCTCGGTAGAACTCTAATTTTCGCACCTGGCGAGCCGGGTTCGAATCTGTGCGGAACCATAAACTACCCTCCCTCGCACTTTAAGATGTGGCTGCGTCATAAGAGTTACAGTCAATTCATTAGCTTGGATACATGGTATGATGCTGTTGACCGACTGCAATCCTTCTAGGTAGTAATCCAAACTTAGGGATGGCGGCAGATAGCCTACGTAAGTTTGACTTTAGTACAAATACAGTTTAAATTTTATGATTTGAATAAATATACTACTTTTTCAATCAACAATATTTGCCTGGATATAAAAGAAACATTGAAAATTTTACGCTTCGCTTCCAATTTCAAGTTTATTCAACTTCCTGTCAAATGAACTAAACAATTAATCACCAAATTATTGCAACTAATTTATTCCTGGTATGTAAATTAAAGAATTAACTACGTTAGTTAGACAAAAGTAATTTCGAAAGTATTTAAGATTATGTGTAAACGCATTATAATTAACTTTCATGTGTTAGAGTTATTAAGTTCATGGTCTGAGCCATTATGTTATTTATAACTTTATTTCTTAATATAGGTGATACATGTAAAACTATCACAATATGATTGGAAAAGCTAATGGAAATAACTATTTCAAACCAATTACTTTAATGACTTTATTAAACGATTTTGTAAAGAGAGAGAGAGAGGAAAGTTTAATCCTTAAACTAACCACTATATCACCTTCATGTTGATGGTGAATTAGTGAAAGTTGTTAGTATTATATAGACAAAAGTGGGTGAGTAAACCTATAGTTTTGTTATTATTACATATGCGCAAGTTTCAATGATAATTTTAATTCAATTATATGTTTAAATTTAAAGTTAAAATTTTAAAAGTAGGTTTTAGAATAAGCTTCCGATTTATATTTATTAGAATGTACAATCGGTAATTTAATCGAATACAAAGTTATATATATATTCCTACCGGATTATTATAAATAAAACCAATATTTAAAAGGATTAGTCTTAAAATAGTTATTCTAAGAAAACTAGATTTCACCGGAGAAATATTGAGGATCATATGAATTAATCAGGATAATTTAAATTATATATATTACAGATCGTTTCAAAAACTGCCACAAAAAATGTTCAATATGTTATTCGTCAATATAACAAGCTTATCCATAAATGAAGCTACTACAAGTATCATCTGCTTTGGAAGGTTCACGGATTCGTACAGTATCCTGCACACTAACAGATACTTTATTCAAATTACTAGTATCGAGTTGTGGAAGTGAGAAAGTGAATACAATGATAGTTTGAAGAAAATAGATTTTGGTAAGCAGCATAAGAATCGTGTAGTTGGGTATACCAAGTCCAAACTTTAATTAATAAAACTTATGATCCTCAGTGTGAATCTGATGAGAATTAGTATACCTACAGTAAGCAGGTTTTTATATACTATTAATTTAAATGTGGTATTTTCTTCATAAACATCCTGAATAATCAAAGTTGATATAAAACGTTTCACTCCTATTAAACTCTCCACAGAAATAGGTAAGTTAATTATAGATAGTGTAGGAAACAGTTTTAACATTATAAATCATACTCTTTCAGCACTGATTGAAATTTGTAGTAACAAGTTTAAAACAAGAGGGAACCCCTCACTAGCCGCGGCTGTAATTAGATCTCAAATCGGTCAAGAGATGGAGCTATGAGCTAAAAGTTTATATTTGAAACAAAACTCAGAGCCATTCTATGCCGCGGTTAATTATCAAAACTAAGACGACCTTCCTTGTGGCATTCAACTGATCCTGTGCATAAGTCTAACGTATCTGGGACGATTTTCAATAAAACGTCTTAAGAAAGAAGTTGTTCTACAGATAACTTAGGAAAGATTTAGTTTGTAAATAATCTTCCGAAGTTCTTTCCTAACTTTAAAATAGATAAATATGTGTCTTAAGATAGAAATGATCATGACCGTCGCATAAAAATTTTATAGAACGTTTATTTTTATTTTAACCTTGACTACATCGATATATTAAGATTGTTTTGTTTTTTCTGTAACGGAAAAAAGATAAACAAAAATAGACAAAACTGAAAATTATTTGGCTTAAAAACGTATGCTATGGGGTTTTAGATTATTACTTTTTGTTAATTAACTGAAAGAAATCTTGTGAAAATAAAAGAAGGTTACGTTACATTTATATGACTGACATGGAAGAGGGTGGTTAATAAAATATTAGGATATTTTGAATAAATTCTATGTAACACAACTGATCATAATTTGAAATATCTATATCCAGTACATTGTGCCATTAAGATACGTTTAAGTCATGCTCAGCCAAAACACTTCTAAAGTAGTTTTGTGAAACAGCGAAAGAAATATCTCATAAGGTTTTTGTGAAACTGAGCCATGTTTTGCAGTGTCGTGACAATAAGGTTGCGTGGATATAGTAACACAACACTATACTACATAAAAAAGGTTGGGTATAGTAACACAACACTATACTACATAAAAAAGATTGGGTATAGTAACACAACACTATACTAAATAAAAAAGGTTGGGTATAGTAACACAACACTATACTACATAAAAAAAGGTTGGGTATAGTAACACAACACTATACAACATAAAAAAGGTTGGGTATAGTACCACAACACTATACAACATAAAAAAGGGTGAGTATAGTAACACAGCACTATACAATATAAAAAAGTTGGGTATAGTAACATAACACTATACAACGTAAAAAGGTTGGGTATAGTAATACACTATACAACATAAAAAAGATTGGGTATAGTAACACAACACTATACAACATAAAAAGGTTGGGTATAGTAACACAACAATATACAACATAAAAAAGGTTGGGTATAGTAACACAACACTATACAACATAAAAAAATTAAAAATTATAAACCGCTTTACTTGCAATTATAATTAATTATCACTTTTAAAATTGAGTTAGGAATAAAACGGACTTGCAGGATCTGTTCATATAATCAATTTCTATGTGTTTCTCGTTATTTATGTTGCATTAAGTAATTAAAGTATAAGCATTATTGACTGTTTTTATACTGATTTGAATACACGCTTTGATTATTCATTTATAAGTAATTTACGAAAACATTTAATTACTGCGATTAGAAAATAAAGAAAAGGCTGTTTAGTTATTTGCTTAATGTTTAATGATTTTGTCAAGATGCAAACTTTACGGTAATGAGGGTCAATGCAGAATAAAATCCTTTTGAAAGTGTACACGCTCTTGAAGCTTACAATTTATGTGTTATTTAACCGAGGCCACAAATTAACGAAAACCTTCCATCTTTGGATAAGTTATAAGTCGTGCTTCAAGCAAGTATGTTTCATTCGTTAGGAATAAAAAGCGTCCTTGTACTTAAATACCTCGTTGACTCACGATCTGAGGGTCGCGGGTTCGAATTCCATCATAGATCATAATTACTCTTTCAGCCATGGGAGTGTTATAATGTTACGGTCAATCCCACTATTTGATTAGAGCAGCTCGAGAGTTGGCGGTGGGTTGTGTTGACTAGCTGTTTTCTCTCTAATTTGTCACTTATAAATTAGAGACGGACAGCGGTCGTGTAACTTTACATGAAATCCAAAAACAACCAAACTTAAATACCAATCAGTACTATGTGTCTCAATATTTTTATATATAACAGTTTTTATACATCTCTTGCTAAAACACAATCATCACTGTAATTATTCGAGTTTACACTTACACTTACTGACTTTTCTATTTATCTACATAAAGTTTGGTGATATATTTAGTCATTTAGTTGATATACGCAGTCGTTCACTTAGCTTATATTTTCTTAGCTCTTCATCGAGTATCCACAGGCAACACATCTTATAATATTCTAACAGAACTGGCTACACATGTAAGCCTCAGGACGAAAAACTGTCACATTTACATATCATTTGAGGAAAATTAGAATATAACAGATAAGTATAACAAATTACGTTTTTGTTAATTTACCGCAATAATAATAATAATAACGTCTTGTAACATCGAACAATTACTATACTAAATCTAAATGTTACAACATTTTTACAGGACCATACAGCAACTAGATAGTAAGGCTCGGTAAGAAGCTTAATGTGACTAAGGGCTTAAATGAGCCAACGGACAGTATTTCTGTTCGCTGGATCATAGTAATACTACACTTAGACGTCCTTCACCACTCTAGCAAGCTGGTTTCTACACCTACATCAAAGGAATTAAACCTTGGCCAAGATCTGAGCTCCAGTAGCCATGCTGAGAGCTGGCATCTCTCATGGTATAAGATATTTTACTAGAAAACTACTTTGAGCCAGGGACCAGAGCCAAAAGCTGGGGGCCAATTTTGAGATTATATTAAAAGCGACTGCTATTGTGTGTTTGGCCCAAGCTGTAGTAGAGAGAGCCAGGCAAACACAAGCACTACCCACCATGCTCACTTTCTGCTTGTATCCTAGATGATGTGCATCGCTGGGCTAAATCCGTAGAGGTCCGACTACTGAATGGGTAAACTCCGGCAGACCAGACTGGATCAGACGGCACAACTTTCCTTGCGTCGATCGATAGCAACTAGGCGTAATGTAGAAAAGGAAGATACAATTGCAGGACGATAACAGCGCAACGTTGTGATCACAACAGGAATTTGGGATAGAGCTACTCATGGGAAGGTTTGTTGATGTACTCGGGAGCATGTCAGTCAGGATATCATTTACCAATCACATCTGTCTATTTTTGGCGCTTATGACGAATAAGCGATGACGTCATGGAGGGCGGGTTTTACAGCTGTTGCAATCATACACCTGAGCACGTGCGTAAGTTTTTAAGTGCATTATTGGCTTTTCACAAACCTGAAACATTGCGTGTACGCCCCATCTAAGCAGTCAGATTTCCTGGGATTTTTATGTTTTATTTTTACGTTTACTATTTCAGTGAACAAGTAATAGTAATAATATGGACAGCGTAAAAAAAAATATCCAGAAACTTGTTTCTCACAGAATGTGTCCTGGTGTTTTATGTTCACTGTAAACTGTTAATATTAGGTAGTGTTGGTGATCTGAAACGCTTGGATATACTGTTTTAATGTAACTAAAACAAACCTCAGTACAAATTTTATTTCAATAAGCTAGTCCAATTCTATATAGAATAATTATGTTGACACATCCATAGGGCTTTGCGTGGCCTGTTGGTTAGCATGTCGAACTGTGGATGAAAAGTGAAGAGCTCGAGACCGACGCTGCTGAATACGCTCCGCATGTTCAATCGTGGAGGAGATATAAAAGTAACAACCAATTTCGTTAATCAGTTTAAAGAATTGAACAAAGCTGTTATGGTGGAGCTGTTGCTAGCTAGCTGATTTCCTACTGGTCAGTAATTCAAAATTAGGGATGACTGCACCTTAACCCTATTAGTCTCTGATCTGGCCGTTTAGACAGAGTGCAACAGATAAATCTTTGAAAAGCGTGTATGTGTATATTTGATAGAACAATAATGGATAAATTACTTATGTGGAAATACTACAGGATCGCGACATTAGATTTAGTACTTTTTTAAGGAATACTTTATGCTTGCTAACTTTAGTCTGGTTTGTTTTACATGCTGCACTTGACTATTCTATTCGTCAATTTTCATCTCTAAGACTAAACAAGCAGATATTATTTCTAATTTCTTTTTTTTTAAACACGGGGTGTTGAAATAGTAAAATACGCTCAGTGGAAAAAAATTAAGAAAGTTAAGACGAAACGAGAAAAAAAAAGAAAGAAAAAACATTCAATTTAAGTTCTAAAATATTTCTTTCCTTCTCTTCAAAACAAGTCGTTGAATACCCAAATATATATTTTAAGAATTTCTGTTTATATGGATCACAGTAATACCATACTTAGACGTCCTTCACCACGCTAGGTTTCAAGCAACTAAATTATACCTTTCAAACTATCAACGAAACTCAAGTTTTGTTTTGCCTTAAAACAAAAAGACAAAATATCATAACCCATCAGGTTATGAAATAATTGCTCTGAAACGATCTACTGATACGTCATACCAGTAGTGTGGAAGTATGTTCTATATGTACGATAAACATTTTGTTTTGTGTTTAACGATTATTATGTTTTCAAGTTGATTGGGTAAGTTGAATGCATCTAAAAAAGAACAATAGTCCATCAGTTAACTTAAGTTACAATAATGGACAGCATATTTTCTATTAAATAAATGTGTTTTTATCGCTGTCATGATTTAAATGTACATGTAAATTCAAAATCACGACAACTGAACATTCTTGCATCATTCATGAAGATCTAATCTCTGAGCCCCAAATACATCACGGGGTAATGCTTTATAAAATAAAAGCAACTGTAAATAGCAACTGAAGCAATTATAATTAATTATCACTTTTAAAATTGAGTTGGGAATAAAACGGACGTATTATATTTGATAATGATTATCAATATTTATTTGATTTGATTATCTTAATGATTATAGTAATCTCCACATTATAAATCTCATACGACTATTACTTGGAAAAAAGATTAGAAATTATAAACAGGTTTTGATATGTATCTGAAGTGTATCCAGTGATAATTTTCTACTACATACAGTAGATTATATGAGACAATATTGTATATTATTTTGGTTTGGATATATTTTTATATAGACATAAGAAAAGTTCATAATGCTGTAAATGATTAAATATTATGGCTAGGATATTAGCAATTTATGAATATAGATTTAAATCATAATTAGAACAGTATAAACGATTGTTGAAATGCTACATGTATAAAGAACTTTGTTTATTTTGTACATACAATGCTTTTACCTTTACTACCGTGCAGTTATTTTAAGAAAATACCTATAAATAAGACAGTAAACCAACAAAAACTGAATATCCTTTCCAGATAGAGCTCGGGTTTTTAAGTTATTAAATATAATTATGAATAAACGAAACGACTGTGAACTCTAGAGAATCCTTTCGAGTGGTTTTATTTGCTCAACGTTTTGTCTTTACGCCTTTATCAGAGCATACTTAGTCTTATAATAGAACGGTCTTTATTTCAGTGACAGAGATTTATGTTCTTGATGAAGGTGTAAAGCCGAAATGTTGGGCAAATAAAACAATTTTGAAAGATTCTCTGGAGTTCACAGTGGTTTCATTTATTCACTTTTATGTGTACTGTATTCCAGCCAATATTACATAATTTACTATACACATTTTTTAGTATTATTATTATTTTATTAAAAACTGTTTGTTTTTCTTTCTCTAAATGTTTTTTTTTTGGGGGGGGGGACGTAATGTTGTTGTTTTTAAGACGAAATTTGATTTTTTATTTATTATTGCAATGAACAAGTATTAACAAGACTACTTCGAGTATTTCTAGATTGTTTATGGCATGGATCGCTAGTGTTTAACACAAAGCAAAGCTATAATCTACTTAGCAGAATTAATTTATACTCTAAATAGAAGTAGTAGTAGTAAATGAATAAAGAAAGGCTTAGATGTTTTGAAAAGGCGTACCAAAAGAAAATTTTAATCTTATAAGGACTAAGCTTCTCTGAATATTTATATAAGTATTACTAGAATGTAAAATAACAGACATTATCGATTAGCCAACATTGCAGTATGTGAAAAATTCGGTCGGACAGTTCATAAGGATTTGTTTTGTTTGTTTATTGGATTTCGTGAAAATCTACACTAGGCCTATATGCACTAGAGATCCCTAAGTTTGAAGTGATAGACCAGATGGAAAGTAGCTAGTCAACTGAATCCACCGCCATTTCTTGGGCTATTGTTGTCAGACTGAGTGGTGGGACTTGATTGTCACCCTTATAACGCATCCACGAACCCGAAGTAATTTCTGAATATTTTGTTGTTGTTTTTTTGTGTGTGTGTGGTAACGAGACGCCAACACCATAACCTCAGCTCCATAGTTCGGAAAGCTAACGATTGGGCCACGCTCGGTCCCATAAGGATAAGAAGTATAAACACAATATTATTACCTCAGTTTGTTGGTCTTTTGAAGAAATGCCGCAATAATATAATATATAATATTTCAAAGTCAAGTTTTAACCCAAGTTAACATTTTTGCATAATGGAAAATATAAATGTTATGTAACTGTTTTGTTTTCTTCTTCTTATAGTTATCCGAGAATATAATATCTGTACTTTGAAATGGCCGACCACGGAGGACTGAATCATTACTTTTCGTTTTGACCATTTATATTGTGGGATAAAATTTTCCTAGATGCTATCTAGTATACATAGAAAAAATCTATTCTCTCAGTATAGAAGTTCTGTAGATGAAATTCAAAGAAACGATAAATAAGTTTCGTCTATTTTAATAGAACGACGTGTACTATCTGGATGGAGCACCTTTCGCTGTGATGATAACCTAAACTCGGGGTGGCGTAATTTCGACAATATGTGGAAGAGTTTTATTCGATTGTAGTCCAGTTGTCGAGATGTGCGGTTTGCAATTGGTTTTACACATGCCAGCTGAGAAGTATGACAGCGATGTGCAACATTCGACAGATGTTTAAACGGATTAAGAACTGATGATTATGCTGGTCTAAAAGTTGATTGAAGGATGTGACATAGGAACGAGGAATGGTCGATGAAAAGGCTGTGTTAAAGAAGTGGTTTAGTGTAAAGTGCTTTAATCAAGAAGTAGAAAGTGCAAGGGAATAAACCATTTTAACGCCGAATGATAAATGTTTACAAATGTTTGTGATGTTATTTACTTAATAAGCTACACTTGTACCAAAATCATATGTCCATCTATTTAGATTTTTTGTTCTTGGACGAAGGAGCCAATCTTCTCCTAGGCAGAATGACTGGAACAAACTCGTGAGACAAAAAGCTTTCTAAAAATGATAGGAATCCTATATATACAGCACATGAATGTGGTATAAAACTAGACAACTTCACACAATGCATAAACTACAAAATTGCCTTGTCTTGTCCTCACCTGCGCCGTAAATCACAGGAAAAGATTCAAGAAAACTTTGTATTCCTATAAGAATGTTTGGTCCAAAAAAGGTCCAACAAACCCATAAGACCGCAAAGATAGTCTAAAGTTGATGGGAATTAGCTAGATGCTACATCCCTAAGGTGCTGAAATGAAGTGTATTTCTAAACACTTCCAAAGTTTAAAAATATTTAAAATTTCAACTTGTATGAATCACAGATATAAAATGATAATTTTTGAATTAGGAATCTCACAACGCTTCCCCTCTTTATCATCAGCTTGTCTTGAGTGACCTTAAATTTTTTTGTTTTTTTTTAAGTCCTAAAGCCACTACGACCGTTGAGGCAGTACCTTGGATGCTGATACATCATCGGAGATTCTCAGTCAGATTTACCTAATAGCGCCCATCTCCTGTCCAGGTAGCCATCCTTAATTTAGCAATGAAAGAGTAGAGGGAAGGTAGCTAGTTAGCATCACTCATTGTCAACTCTTGAGCTACTCTTTTATCAACGAATAGTAGGATTGACTGCCACATTATACAGCACCACAGCTGAAAGGGTTATCATGGTCAACTACGTGTATTCGAACCCACACCTTCAGATTGCGAGTCGAGCGCTTTAATCACCAGGTTATGTCAGACCCAGAGATAAAATTAACAACCCAGTTATTATTACTATCCCTTTCATGCAAGTCTACTAGAGCCAATTGATCCAGAATCATAAGTTACATGAAATGGAGAAAGAGTAAAATACAACCCATATTTTAGTACAATATATAAAAATAAATAAACAGGAAAATATCTACACATATTGTAAGTTAATTAGGCATCAGACTAGATAAATATGTACAAAAATATCAAACGAATTACAGCTAGAAAATTAATAACAGCAACAGTTAAATACAAAAGAGATCACACATCTGTTAATGTCGTAAGTCTACACTAGTTACACTCATTTAAATCAAATTCAAGTTTCCAGTGAATTCATAATCAAATTCAGGTGTATATCATACAGTGAATAAAGGCAAAATAAGACTGAAATAGGATAATACAAGGTAAACTGATTCAATTATATTGTGACAGGTGGGAAAATATAGTAGCTCTAGCGAACTGAATATACACAGGGCAAATCAAATCAAATAACTTAACTAAGCTTTAATCCAAAATGAATAACAAAAAACTCCTACATACTAATAGATCAGATAACAATAACAAATAAATACATACATACAATTGAAATAGTGGGAGAAAAGACGGTACAGATACTTTTATATATAAAAGGGTATTAAATAAGCGAGAAGCAGAGAACATAAAGAATATAATCAACTGAACAAACAGAAACCAGAATCGTTTAATAACAACTGAAATACAGCAAAACAAATGCATGAGTGTTAAAATTAAGTATAACAAAACTAATAAGATCAGGCTTTAACTAAATTGAGCATAGTTACATAACTAAATAAGGAAAATAAATCAAAACTGGCAAATGAATAATAACCTTGAGCTTCTAATAAAAGAACAGAATGAGGACAATTGAAACAATAATTAAGTATATACAAGACGATTAAACACTAAATTAATATAGCAATAAAATGACATTGAATGCATATGAAACAATTGAGACACTAGATGCATATAAAATAATTATAACATTAAATTATTAAAAAGCAATTAAGACATTAAATTAATATAACATAAGTAACTGAAAAGAGAAACTGTGTATTATTTAAAAAAGGTGTCACTTTATCATAATATGGAAGAGAAGGTCTTCCAAGACTGCAATTAATTTGTATCCTTTCCAGGAAATCTGTAGGACTTTGGATCATAACTTCTGAAGACTGAACTTGGAGTCAGCCAGTTCTTCTTTTAATCTCTCCAGTTATTGAGTCATTATGACCTGCTCTCCATCATCTTGCCTACTCTAATGTCCCCCAGATTGTGACAACATTGTCTAAGTTGCATCCAGGTGGTCTTGTGGTAGGTAGTCGCCCTGCCGAGATGCAGTGTTGTCTTTTCTGGTTTGTAAAAGACTGTCAAAGTCATATTTAGTTGGCAACTTGCTCATGTGTTTTACACGAATACATGTGACATGGGGTAAATGTAGCTCATTGTTGAGTAGAGTAAGTTGACGGGTGAGAAGTGAGACCCACTCTAGCCAGAACTGAGTGAGTAGCCTGTAGCTTGAGGATAATACAGACATACCTAGTTTCCGTAGCTTAACTGACATTCTGTTACTATCTATTACTGTTTTTTCTTATTGTTCATCAGTCTTTCCGGTTGGTGAAATTCGAACTAGCATATATCTGCCATAGTTATTCACAATCATTCCCCATATTCATCTATGTTCTGGGGATTATATATTTTTATCAATAGACTACACATAATGTATTTTATGAATTTACGGTGGACTGAGTCAGATATTCACCAAGCTATGTCAGATACTGGGAGTTATGAAAACTCATACTACACAATATCATCTCAGTGGTTCTCCATATATGGTGATCTACATACCTTCAAAGTTTGCTAGCCTTAAGCAGACCAACTAGGATAACCATCATCGTGTGTAGCTGATGATGACTTCTCTGGCTACCAGATAGGTTGAAGTGTAGGATTCATTGATCCATTAGTCGTCACAAGTGTCTGATCTATATTGTTAGTAAAGGCTTAATCATTGGCCACTTGCTAAAATAATTAATAACTACTAGTACAAATCAATTGTTACTGAATGTTTCTGCCATAGCTTCAGATATGTCGTGAGTAAAACCGTTGAAAGGGTAAATTAATAGTTTCTAGCCTCTGCTTGCCTTGAGATGGTTTGGACTTATCTTGGATACACATGCAGTGTTTTGCAAACACATCTCCGTTCCATATCATAAGCATGGTCAGTAAAATCTGAGCATAGATTGGTAGTGGTATAAAACCTTGTCTTGTGTCACAATTGTGACGGATTCACTATTACATATTTATTTTAATATCGATGTTTGTTTGAATTTAATTTATATTTAAAATTATACATAGCTTATACTGTTGAATCTGAATTGCAAATTCCTGCCTATTCTATAAAGTTGTAGAAGATTCTCGAGTGTAAGAACCAACAATATATGTGTGTACGTAAACGCCAGTGTAGCGTTTGTATTGTTGCGTAACTGAAATTTCGAGAAACTCTCCACACGCCTAAATATAACCAACGCGACGCACCTAAAAACAGTTTCTATTATTAGTCTGTTATAGTTCGTGTGCTTATTAATCGGAAAACTTACGATATTTGACCAGGAACATTTATAAATTTCGAACATTACAAACCATTTAACTTCAGTGAATTCACATCGGACATTAGTACTTTTACGAAAACATTACCTAACGTCATCGGTGTAAAAAAAAATCGGCGAGTGATCAGTAAAGACCACAGAACTAGCTAGCTTCCTATTAAGTGAATTATACTTACATAAACTCGAGATTAACTCGCTCATCGTGAACCCTCGATAAGACATCAAGGAAGTTCCAGACTAGAAATAATACTTTATAATGCTTGTCAGTTTGTAAAACATTTGTATATAAACCATTTTTGTAATAACTATTTGTAATAACTGTTGTTGTAAATTGTATTATTGTTTATATATCAAAACATATTTGTGTTAAAAAAGAAAACTGTGTGCATAAGTTGTCATAAGTTGGATGCATATCAGCATTTATTTATTACTATATATAAATTACAATCTAACTTAGTAATTGTAATACGTAACACAAATTGTGCAGATCTTTCAGGATTTTCTTTCATTTGGAATGTGGCATAATGAACTAAAATCCTTATCTGTATGAGTCGTGCTGACAATCTAGCTCGTCATTCAACACGTTCAGCTGGCCGTATAACTGCCAAAGAATGTAGATATCATGGTGCTTATAATAGACCATTTACTACATGGCTAGCAGCAACCAAGTGGTGTCCAAGTTATCCTTCAGCTGTTCATTTCTTACTTCTGTGAATGTCCTCTTTAGACGCCACACTTCAGCGTGTCTGCCGCTTCTTGTGGCATTGTAATCTTTGATTATGACCAGTGGCAGAACAAACATGTATTTTTTAATGGCTGAACAAGATTTACATATAGTAATCTGATACTCTTTTTAGAATTACTAGGTTCGTTGGTGACCAAGATAGTTTATACATTGGTTGTTTAATGAGAAGTGTATTTTCCATGACCAATTACTAGAAGTGGACGATGAGCACTATTTACTAATCGATTATCACACTCTCCCCCTCCATCATCAGAGTACAAACAAACAAAAAACGGGTCTGCACTACCTTCGTAAATTTTTGAAACACCGTATTATTGTACCATGGTATTATTATTATTATCATTTTGCAGAAAGCATAGTTTTTATGTAAATGAATATCTTGCCACAAGTTTTTAAAGATAATCTGGACATTTTCCTGTTTTGTAAGATAGTAACCAAAATTTCAGTATTTTTACATGAAAGAAAAAACTTCCACTGTATTAACATAGTGTTTTGGACTAATCAGTGTTGACCACATAGTTCTAAAGTAACCAAAATAATTAAAACAAATTTAAAATAATGTTAATTTATATATATTCTATAAATAATTAGCTCAATCAGGCTATAATTCAGAGATTTGAAAACATATATTTTAATCTCTAATAATATTATTAATATGAAAAAACAAATATATCTTTTTTATATAATCCACGTCTGCTTATGCAACATTAAAGAGTACGGTTATT